TGCTCTTTATCTTTAGCAATCTTTTTTTGTTTCTGATGGGTAGCTGTTCAACAGAGTCCCAGAAGGTGACAAAACAACTTTTATTGAAAGTAATTAACAGGCAATAAACAAAGTGCCAGACATTCCACAGGGCCACCTTTATAATGAATTGAACATCTGGGAAAAATTACCTGAACGTACCAACATCTTTTCATCATTCTGGAAATTTCTCAATTACTTCGAGTATACCAGAAATACAAGAACCAATGGAAATTCATTTACACAACTGCAGTGCTCAATACTCTCCTTTTAATTGATAACAAATAAAAAGAATAATGGAAAAACGTAATCAGAAGAAAAAGAAAAAAAATTGGTAGAGATCATGCCAGACTGTACCCAATTTGACCCTCATTCTCAGTACCTCATCATGCAATGCAGCATAACAATCTATTTATCCACCATCAACATATTCTATTTAATAATAATTTTTTTTAGACTTTAGTTTTTGTCAAGTAATACTATGTTTTAATGCATATACATGTATACTATTAACTGGATGAAAATAACCGACAGAATTGTTTGAAAATTTAATGCAAGGCCAGAAATCAAACTTGTTTTTCTTAACATTACTTTTTTTTTGGACATAACAGTCACTGGCACCACATTTCCTGTAAAATAGTTTGGTCTCACTCATTAAAGTAATTCAATAACATCAATAGAGAACTTTTACTGTGTATATGAGGTTAGTAGGCAATACCTGGTTAGCAAGTGCACCCAAGTAGTTTATTTACTAAAAATAGTAAAACTAGTACCGGGTAGTACTAATTAGTATTTAGTAGTTTATACGCGAGTTGAGCAGAATTCAAGATGATGCCACACACGATTCAAGTGTTGTCGCTGATCAAACTGACTCGAAAGACTACTTGTCTTAAAAACGATTGCCTTATTGAAAAAATTTCTGCTTTATCATAAATGAGCAGTTTTGCTACGCATAATTTGTGAAACAGCAAACAATATGGTGGTACCCATTGACTGGAAGTGTACCATTTTGAAAGAGTATACACACATATGTTATCTTCAGAGCTCGCGTCACGAGTGGCCATGCTACAATAAAAGTGGTTGGACATTCCTTTGAAATGTTTGCCATCAATATGCTAATTATATACGCAAATTAATCATCCCTCTTGGAATTAGAGCACTAATAAATATTCCTTATCAGTGGAACAAACCTGCCAACCATTTTCAAACATCATTGTAATTTATATTTATCACTTGGGGGGGGGGGGTCACTAGAAGACATTATTTTAACCTCCAAGACCTTTGGGTTAAATAACAGAACTCAGTATTCTCCCCACATAGAACAAAGCATGGCATGCTCAACAACCCGGCCGCCATGCTTGGGCTCTGACTGCCATGCTAATAGGATGCATTGTTTACATCCATTTGACCAGTTCACACGTAGCACTGCATAAAATATCACCGTCTACAAGTGTCAACGCCACGGCGGTTTGAACTTGCCGGGACAAATTCAACAGTCCCATTGTTAAACACGTGCGAAGTACGGACGCTTTCAATGGGGAACAAATTGTCACTCGAGTTGCAAATAGTTGAACACCGAGATGCTATAAGACAAAACATGCAAAGGAAAAAAATTTGATGCCGTCTGGCTAAAACGCCTAAAAAGTTACATTGAATACCCTGTTCGTGTCACATCGCTCCTGCATTACAAGTATTAATCATGTCTAAGAGTTGTATGTTAGCGTGGCTTGTTGAGAAGACCACGTCATCGTCTTCACCGAGCCCAGAGCCTGTTATGCCGAGCACGAGTCCCCGGGACGAGATAACTACAATCACCGCTAGCACAGCACAGAGATGGAAGTGTGTAGAAACACAGAGTAAAGGACAGAAACGGCATAAGGCTGGTTTTGATGAGTCGTGGAAGAAGACATTTCCCAGGTTAAGGTCAACTTCAGATTGTTCAGGTAAGATTTCGTAATTTTAGAAATAAAATGCCAGTGTGTGCATATTTTGTCGATCGTAAGAACACCGAACATGGTAGGCCTACACCGATCTCAATCAACATCTTAGACGCGAGGCTGATATAGACATGGCATGAAAAAAAACATCACTCGTTACTGTCAACTTTTGTAGATTATTTATGCATATCTTCATAAGTTAATGGGTACGTGCATGTTATAATTTGTCCAAACAAAAAAAAAAAGAATTTTTGTAATCTTCCGGTCACATGTTGACCTGTATGGGCATTTCCAAGATGTCGGCCTGTCAACGTCTTGCGAACGACAGCGGCTATCGTCACGAGCTATGATCGATGGAATCCTGATTTGTATACATAATTGTATCATTACGTTTTAATTTTAATTGAACAGTGACCTCATGTTTTTTTTCCCTCAAAATTCCCAAGTCTCCTTGTCGTTGACCTGACAAAACCAACATGTAAACGATACGTTTTGCAGACAGTATGCTATCCATATGCACTGGGTCCCCGATCGCAGAGCACAGAAAGTCAAGGATTAGTTTAGACTAAGTTTTATGGAACAGTTCACATTAAATGACGATCTTGTCAAATTATGGTATATTATGTAAAGTATTATGTGATGTAAATAAAGCATCTCGTACATTTTACTACTGTCTTGTATGTTTGTTTTTGTGAGAGAGGATCCTGAAAAATTTGCAAATTAGTATGCAAATTAGTCCGCCATGCTTGCCTCTGATCCTGGGGAGAACACCGCTGAGGAACTAAAAGTTTGAGACTATGCTAATATCGCCGCTGTCAAAATATAGTTAACCAACAGTGGTTTAACATTAAACGCAAGTCAAACCCTCTGTTTTCCTTTAGCATACAAGTGGCTTTTGAGGATCTGGTAAAGTGCAACTCAAATTGTCATTTTTAGCTTAAATTTATTCTAGCTAAAATTAGATCATCAGCATTATTCTGAACTACTAATTCTTCATTACTTCGCAAAATTAATTATGATTAATCTCTGCATTTAATTAATGTTTATTACACGGTAACAAAATTGCAGTAAAACTAGCAAATTAATAATTCTGTAATTCTCTTCAATAAGTCCAGTCTCCCATCAGCTAGCTTCTTAGTGACTTCAGTTTAATACCTAAATATCTTTAAATTAGAAATTCGCCGGGAAGGTTTCATTCCGTTTCAAGTTCTATTGGTTGTTGAACAACTAGCTCAGACTTCTGAATTACACCCACTCAATAGAACCAATTTGAATAGAACAGAAAAAACAAGGTCATGGTGAAACACATACATGCAAGGGATTGACCATTAGATCTTGTGAGGGGGTCAGACCAAGGAGATTCCTAATTTAATTTTTTTCTACACAGAATATGTTATGTGGAACATTAATTGATTTTGTTGAAATAAACAAACTTTGGTGTGTGTTTTTTTCCAGTCACTTCTCTCAAATTTTTTTTTTTCCCCGAAAGTACTGTTGTGATTATATATTTTATTAAAGATTATTTATCTAAATTATATTTTTTTTTCGAATTGTGACCACCCCCTTCCAAAATCTAATGGTCCATCCCTAAATTGAAACGCCAATGAATGAAGTTATGACGCAATCAAAGTAAACAACAATGTCAAGCATGGTAAAACATTCCTGGTCAATTCGCCACCCTCTTCAACCAAAGTTCAACCTACAAAATCGACACAACCACGACACAGCGTAGGAAATAACGGCTGCTATAAATCAAGATGGGCAAAGTTAATAAAATACATGGGACAAGTTTCAACGGATTTTCAAAACGCGGGCCCTAAAATTAGCCTCAGGCTGGCCTGTGGTTTGAAAACGCGTCATGTCATCACGTCAGATTCACTATAAAAAACAACAACTTAGTAATGAATAATTAGTCAATTGTGACTGGTGTTTAATCCATTTGCACCACAAACGCGGCAAAAAAGTAAAACAAACCTCAGAAAATAAAATCGAAGATTGTGTACCAGTCATTCGCTGCAACGTAGAATTATCCACAATACAAAAACACGTGTCGTGTATAAAAACATCCCATTCATTCAAACGCGGGAATCTCCATTGATGCACGCCAGGTGGGATGCACTGCAGAGTTTCCTGCCTGCATGCTGCGAACGGAAACGCGAATTGCCCTAACAGTGTCGTGTGTTATTATGGCGCGCAAAGTCATTTTAGTATTTTTACCGCGAAATGTCAATGAAATGTTCACATACGACAAAAACTGAACAGCACGGACGACCAACCCGCCGACGAATAAGGCTTGCGGATGCCTGACAGTGGAGTACGGCATTTAGTTCCATGTGTACGATGACTCATTGAATTGAAAAGTTGACCTACTCCAGGGAGCTCCCTGCCTACTTGAACAATACAACTGCGTGTTGCCATACAACATTACTTCGCGGAACTTCTTGACTGACCATGATTTTAGTCTCACCTTTGAATGCGGCCACATCTTGGTTGCAAAAGAAGGCAACGTTACACCGCTCGAAATGCTGCCTCAAGTGAATATTTACGACGAACTTGCGTGTTATTTGACTCCAGTATTATGCAAATTTAACAAGTGACCAGCCAATCAAACGACGAAGACAAGAAAGTAATTCCGCTAATTTTACTCGTTCGCGTCTGTCGCCAGAGAGGGCGTGTCAATCATCCTCTAAATTTGCATAAGGTCGAGACTTACTAGTATATAAACCTCAGACTAGTCTGAGTCTATAAACCGATAAGGTAAATACCAGATACAACAAACTGCCGCCCGCCGCAAAACCCT